AGCCATCTGGCCTGCATCTTTCCGTGCTCTGATTGGCTCCAGTGTGTAAGGAAAGACGATCTATCGATTTTCTAACTTTAAACCTCCCGTGCAAATGTATGGCCTGACGAGAATTTACCGGAAGTGTACACTCGCCAAAATGTTGTTCTGAATTATCTAATGAGATTTTTTGCAACTTTAAAGTGAACTAACGTTAATTTGTTTCACACGTAAATTGAAGGTGTGCGTGGCGTTTCGCACCGTGAACTATACCAATCTAACTGCAGAATGATAAGTTTGAATTCGAAGTAGACGACTTCCTACCCACCACATTTTTCAGGAATATTAAGAAACCAATAAGTTATAAAGTAAAAGGGAGTAAAAAATGTCCAAATTTGTCACACCCAATAAATTATAAGTAAGAAAGAAACACAAAATTAATTTGTGTTTATGGCACCCTATTTTGTTGCGAAAACATTAGATTATGTAAACAACGTCTAGGAACTAATCTAGGATTCTACCTTCTTAGCTATAGAGTTAGGGTTTAAGGTTGCCTTATGGTTACGATTGGGGCTATGGTTTAAGTTTATGTTAGAGCTAATGTTAGGGTTAGGACACGGGCATATCTACCCTTCCTGGAATTGAGTGCAGAGCTACCCTTTTTACTTGGGCGTAATATTCGTTTTTCTGTGTTCTGTTTAGGGTGAAAATTTAGGATATTCCTCTTCTGCTAAGCACTGTCTGGCATTTATTCCTTATCGTGTGATACACTTCTACGAGTTTTCAATAGTACTCCTCGTGCTTTTGTAGTTTTATTAACACTAGCGGAATTCTGGCAAATGATGCTGTCGCGAGTAAGCCTTGTTTTGTAACGTCGATTTGGTGAGCTAGCCTGGTGCCTTTTTAACCAACAAGCTGGTCGTCGGCTGTTGCCGTGCTCAATCTCCTTTTTTTCTCCTCCCAATTCATGGTCCGATCAAGAAATTTATCTTTGTTGTGCAGCAAAAAGAGTGCAAGGCATACCTCGACTTCGTTTTTTCTGTCTTTGCTGCATTTGCGTGATACCCATTTGTTGAGCTTTTTACTTCGCCTGATTTGATTCCTACGACAAGCAGCGACTGAAAGATTAATGTTTCAGTCCTTCCCTCTTTTTGAGTGTGGACGGTTTCGGGAGGAGAGAGATGCATCCCAAAATCCTGGGTTACCAACCTTTGCTATAGCATTTTGCTTCCCTTGATTTTGCCGAACTTCTTCTCTTATACTACTCTGTGACGGCTTGCTGCACATTCAAAACGACTCAGGGCAGTAGACTTTTGACTGGTACTGTCTCTCTGCTCTGTCCTGCTCTCTCTGCTGTCGCTTTCGTGTCGCTTGCCCAGCTCGCCTCAGTGTTTGTTGCGGCTTGCTTCAGCG